AAACATAAGGAAAATTTAATATATAGTAAGCAACATGACGGAAAATTACCAAAATTAACAACCAGAAATAAACATCGTTTTCATTAATTATAAATCTTGAAACTCTTATGCTTTCGAATACGAATAGCATAAGCATTTTTCTTTTCAAAATCAGGGGTCACGCCTTCTTAATTCGTAGATTGTAGAGTCCAATTTATGCCAAGCCCCTGAAACGACTAACTCCACTTTAGTGAATAATTATCGATCTTCTCTCCTAATTTTCACATTCATTGAATGTGGAAGTTTCTACAACATCTCTGACCTTAGGCGTAGTACTACTTTGTTGCTTATTGTCACCTTATTTCCTCGATTTGATGACTGTGAGTGCTTGTCTGATTCCGGAACCAAATCTGCCCAAAAGAGTCTAGCCACTGCAATAACTTTAATAGTTCTTGAGGGTTTGTTAGTTTTAGTTTACTTCTTGATTTTTCAATACAACCATGTTTTTGAAACTTTCTCTGGTTTCATGGATCGATGTCGTGCTAATTCATGTTGTTTTGGATAAGCTATCGTTATTGTCGGCATTCAGTTTCTCTTACCCTATTTTGCTTTGTTCATGTAAAGTTGATCTTATTCTTTTTCTACTTTTTGTCGTTTAAATTGTTTTCTTTTTCCCTCTCTTTCCATCATTTATGAGTTTTCCTTCTTTCTTTCTTCTTTCCCTCTTTTAGGCGTTTATTCTGCCGTTCATACAAAATTGCTGATTTGCAGTATGTAGTTGTCGTTTTCAAATTATTTTGTTATTTTACTTCACGTCATCATTTTAAAATTATTTGTCAATGATGTTTTCATTCTCGAGCCTTTATTGTCGTTTCAATTATCACCGTGCTCTAGATCTGGGAGATGGGTAAAAATAATCTTTTTCATTAACTATGTTTGCTGCAAAATTAACAAACATTCTTCCCATTATCATTCTCTTGTACCAAACGCTCTCGAGGCTCCAATGTGTAATGGAGGCACTACAAATTTTAAAACTGCTGCTAAACACTTAATGTAATTAATATGTACGGACATGAATGGATTATGTAAAGTAAGTAAAGATCACGTGACTATGTGACTATGCTTAGCAACCGTAAGTCACAAAGTCTATTCATGTAGTCACGTGACTATGCTTAGCAACCGTAAGTCACAAAGTCTATTCATGTACTCGTAATGCTATTATGCAAACTGCATATGAATGACAATGATATGTAAATAATAATTTAAATTTATTCCCGCGCAGGAAAAAAAAATGAGTCTAAAATTTAGGAGTTTATAATTCAAAAGTAGTAGAAGTTAGGAAATGAGCTAAGTATGAATGTAGTAATGATGACCAAAAGTAAGGGTCGTCACACTAACCATGCTTCCTATGAACATCTTGAAGAGAAGTCTCTAAATTTTAATTAAAATAGCTAGAAAGCTATTTTAACTAGCAATTTTTGGATGATCCACTCCAATCATACTCCATATTTTAGCTAAACATAGATTATTTTAATATTTATTAAATTTAAAATATAAATAACTTTATTAAATTAAAAAAAATATTCTTTGCATTTATTGTGGTGTGATAATAGAGAAAATAAATGGCTAACCCTTTCTTGCTACCTATATTTAACTAGTGTAAAATGCATTATTTAAAATAGCTAACCATTTAGCTAATAGTTATAGTGGAGAAAAAAATTTTAAAAAAAAAAGTTAAATTATTAGACAGTTTAATTAAAAAAATAAAATAGCTAACATAATCGGAGATGTTCTTATATTCCTTTCACTAACTAAAATCTCTCTTTTACATCACTTGTGAAACCATTTTTTCCCTCTTTCATTTTTTCTCTTTCCCCAACATATCTGAAAATTTAAACAAAATGATTAGCAATTGCTCAAAGCAGCCACGGACAGCAGCATTAATTGATTTGCATACAAATGTATTTAAACTTTCTCTTCAATACCGTCTTCTTTTTTTAAATTTGGGTGATTCTGAAATAATAATCAGACTAGTCAATATTGCATGTTGGCGCTAACAACACAACTATAATATCAATTTTTTTTTTGGACCACAAGTTGGCGCCATTATATTTAATATGTTTGGTACGTATGGAAAGTACATATATGTATTTCTGAAACTACTTGCTATATAAAATTACTTTTTATTTAAACCAATAAACCAAAATGATATAATTCATTTTACCAAAATGATATAATTCATTTTGGTCGTTCATTTATAGTTTCTAAATGATGTTAGGAACGGAAGGTCACACTTTCTCCATAATAGTTCTTTTGAGGAGCACTAAATTTTTTTTTCAAATTTCCTTTCAACAATATTGGTTAATTTGTTGACTAATCATGTGAAAAGGTCAGACTTTATGACGCCTTACTTTGAAAAAATATGTCAATATTGCTGGTTGTTTAATTATATATAAGTGGGCGATGAGAAATTTTCTAATTTGGTCGAGAAATGAATGTTATCTTCGAATACTAGAAAGCCAATTTAACTTTTCTTTGCAAAATAGTCTGAATTTGATGGCTACTAATTCGTTGGAGTAATTATCACTTGTTATAGAATAAGTATCTAAAAAGTTTAGTCAAGCCGGAACATGATGTTTCTGCTCTTCTATCTTGACTAATATGGTGTTGTGCCAAAGGCACCTTTGTACTTTGGTTTTTTTTTTTTTTTTTTTTCAAATTGTTTAAAAGTTTTTTTTATTGTAGGTTATCTATATCAAGACGAATATATGCTTCTAAACATAAGATCCAGTCAAATTTGTATAAAAAAAGTAGGTAAAATAATAGAACTTGATACAGAGCTGACAGTTAATTAGAAAGAACTCTATCGATATGTTGTTTTCATATATATCTTATACCTTACATTAATTCTTAAATATTGAATGGAAAAAAATAATATTATTGAGAAAAATTAGATAATATATAGCGGAAAAGTGGACAATTATAGATCAAAGCGTCAAAATCTAATCTAATGGGAGTAATGAAATGTGCTTTAACAATGGGACAAAATAACGTCGACTAAAAAACTTTTATCTTCAAAGTGATATGTTAAAATGTAAGAGTAGCAATTCGAGTCACGTGTCATGTTTTGATCATTTCTTTCTAAATTTATAGTTAATCTGAACACGTCCCATGACACGAAATTTTTTTAAAAACTGCAACACGTACACGACACGACCACTTTACGGGTTGACACGACACGACACGAAAATGACCCGTGAAAATATCTTCAAGATTTCTTTATAAGTAAATATTACTTGTACAATATCCAACAAATTACAAAGAAATCAAATAAAAGTACTGAAGCATTTACATCAAAGAAAATAATTTAGTAAAATCATATCAAAGGAACAATAAAAAAAAAAAAAGAGAGATGAAAATGGTAATAATAATGAGGTCTTGTATACTAGCTAGCAAGTTCCATGAGCTAAGCTTCAAAATTTATAAAGACGTAAGATTATGATACGATGTATATATGAATAAAAGTCATAAGTCATGATGTGGATTAATCTAAGCCACCATATTAAACTAAGTAAAAAAAAAAAAAAAAGCAATCTTGAATTATTAGATTTGATTCGAAAGCTTGTTGAAGTATTAATAGTATTTTCAGTTATAATTTTCTATCTTATAAGTTGTAGATTATTTTATTCATGGTTTATATTTGCAGCTATTGATTGAAATGATTCGGATGATCGGGAACATTCTACAACAGATTTTTGGAGGGACAATAATTGGCTTAGATATAGAATCGGTGATTTTTTTTTTCTTTTTTTTCTTGTTGGGGGGGTTTGGTTTGTTGTGGGGGCAAAATTGTGGTAACATTATTAATCTCGGCCAGTAGAATGAGTGATAGATATATTGACAATTCGTTAAAAACGAGTATCCTACATTTAAATGGAAAAAACGTACGGGAATCACCTATTTTAGATTGAAAAAAAAAATCTACAAAATTGTAATATTAAGAGAAATGAAATGATTTTCGAAGAAAATAGATAACAAAATATAGATATTTTGTAATTACATATATGGACTTGTTTTCAATGAGTACATTTCCATCAGTGATTATTATTAAATATGAAAATTTGATAACGTGGTGTGATAAAAATTTAACTTCATTAATCTAATTTATTACAACCGTCAATTAATATCTTAATACTAAAATAATAATGCTCGTTGATAGATAAATATTCGAGTAACCATTAAAACCACCCCATATATATATATATATATATATTCAAATAGTAGTCTTCCTTTAATCTTATCATGATTTATAGTAACCATTTAAATCACACCCATATGTGTGTATATATGCACATATTTATACAACTTCGAGAAGAAGAAGAAGGGAAAAAAATAAAATAGAATATCGCACTGACAAAAAATGAAAAGCTAAATCAGTCCTTTGAAAGTAAATTTCATATTATCATTTAGAGCCTAATCTTTTTCTTCTAGCCAGACATACATCTTCTGTCATACATCTTCTGTCGTATGATCCGTAACACATATGCATCGATTGAAATCAGGTTTAATTTCTTTACTAAACTTTCACATAAATTACTTGACCGATATATCAAAATCTCATAAATAACAGAGAAACAAAATAAAAGTAAATCAGAGCAAACAAATTAGCACCAACGCTTCTTAAAAAAATAAATAACGTAAACTTTTTTGTTTTTTTACTAACTTTCATCTAGTAAAATAGTCATATCAAAAGGTAAAGTTTAAATAACGTGAGCATTACAGCGTCTTAATAGCGTGCTTAAGTATTAATTAACTCATTTGCAATATATATATATATATATATATATATATATTTGGTAAATAACCTTTTTCGTTAAGTATGTGTTTTTGCTATCAAACAAACATATTCCGATCCTCCCATTAGCATTTTCTTGTATCAAACGCTCTCAAGTCTCAATCCTCCCAAGCCTGGAAAGGCTGAACGTAAGGAGGAAGAGAGGAAGAAGGGAGAGAGATGCCCAAAACTGAAAAAACTGAGAGAGCGGTGGGATTTTCATTTTCCCTCTATTAAAACACAGGTTTACATAGTAAGCTTTCTAGATATTCAATAGTAAGCTTTTACAGTCATAAAACTGAAATATCAAGAAAGACAATACGATGACACTTATTCTATAATAAAAAAACAAAAGCAAAAACAAATTACAAATTACAAACCTTCTTTGTCAGCCACTTATTCTTAAATTAAATAGAAAACACTTTGTGCGACAAAATTTATAACTATAGGGTACCAGTCTCACACATTAATAGAAGGCGTCGAGTAGCATGAGACACACAAGTCGGGTCCTCCTTTTATTAATTATGATGCATAGTATTGATGATAGCCCAAGTATTTTTTCATAATCTATGCAATAATGGGGACACTTTGCAACACTACTGTCTCCACTGTGAGTCCCGGCCCGAATCCAAGCAGAACTCCCCACTCCAATCCGTCACCGGTAGTGCTCTTTTTCTCCGCCAACGACCTCTTCCTCATCTGATTCAGTATAAAAAACACAGTTGCACTTGACATATTTCCATACTCACTCCACACATTCCAAGTGTCCTTAAGCTTCTCCTTCTTTAGCTCGGCTTTCTCTTCAATTGCCCTCAGAATGGCAGCCCCGCCGGGATGTGGCACCCAAAACACGGAGTTCCAATCACTAATTCCATACGGGGTAAATGCTTCTTCCAAACATGTCAGAATGTTTTTGCCAATTAGCTTCGGCACTTCCGGAGACAATACAATTGTGAGTCCGCAATCACGTAAATGTCCTCCTATTGTGTTTTCTGAGTTAGGGAGAATAACTTCCGATGTTGAAATTAGCCGAAATAATGGTCTTTCAACCGAGCCCTCATCGGGTACGTTGGCACCGATGATCACAGCAGACCCACCATCAGCGAAGATTGCTTGGCCCACAAGAGAAGCACTGTCATCTTCTGAGGGAGCGCGGAAAGTGGGGATGGTGAGTTCGGAGCAAACGACGAGGACTCGAGCGCCGGGGTTGTTCTCGGCTAAGACTTTTGCAATGCGAAGGGCGGTGCCACCCGCGAAGCAACCTTGGTGGTAGAGCATGACTCTCTTGACGGATGTTTTGAGGCCAAGAGCCCTAATCAGCTGATAATCGGCGCCGGGCATGTCCACTCCTGCAGTGGAATTGACGATGATGTGGGTAATTTTTGATTTCGGTTGGCCCCACTCTTTGATGGCCTCTATTGCTGCGCTTTCACCAAGCTTTGGCATCTCGACAAGTTTCAGATCCATACGTGCGTTAAGTGATGGAGCATCATAGGTACACATACTCGGGTTTTCTTTGAGGATATCTTCTGTCAACCTCATGTGCCTCTTCTTTATCAATGATTTCTCACCTGCATGCGTGCAATGATATGTGTGTCACTAAACCATTGTTTGAAAAAATAAACTCTAAGGTCAAATTCATGCGAGAAAAGAGCAGACAATACAGTTAAACGGAGAAAATTAATTAGAAAGTAATGCGCAAGGAGATATAATTACATCATCATTTATCTCCTGTAAATGTTACTGAACTTTATATTGCAATATCGTATAAAAATAAAAGGTAAATAATTAAGTCACTTGAAGTTAGAATATATTTATATATATGACTGAAAAGATATTTTTGAAAACATGTTCCTAATAAATCCATATACGGCGTGCATGGTGATACTAAAGAGAAATTTTACGACCCAATGATATCGGCTTTAAGTAAATGATTTAAATTAAATACTACTTAAATGAACCACATATATTGTAAGTGTATATAGAAGTTCTATCAGAGTATTCAACCTCATACTAATTATGTGGCCTCTTAGTTTCTGGAGCAACATCAAACTATTTAGGTTGTCCCGTAAACTTAAATAAATAAATAAAAAATAAACAAAAGATAAACTTGAAATATTTATGATAAAAGGTTCGATTTCTCGATCATTTGCTTACATATGCGCTTGAACTTTTCTTTTAATTCTGTCTTGTCCTCTGAGTTGGTGACTCTAAAATAATAATCAGGATAGTCAACTTGATTAAAGAAATTGCTGGGATTGGCGGTGCCAATTGCTAGAATTGAGGCTACTTCATGACCACCTCGTCGGATCACTGACTGGCTTTCCTCCACGGGCACGTTGTTCGGTGCCATAACTAGCTGCTTTAAGGGAACAACTGAGTTTAAGGGTTGAGAAGAGAAGAATAGATGGAGGAATTAGGATATGATGGATTTGCACTTGTTTCTCTTGGCTTTTATAGACTCATTGGGTACTGCTACAGCTCCGAAATGATGTAATAATTTATCGAATTAATATGGCTATTAGTCGATCACGTCTAGTAAATTTTATTCTCCATTCAATGGTTTTGTACCCTTATAAGTCAATGATTCTATGTCACTAGGGAAGACTTTTATGTTCATTTTGTAGGTTAGATGAATTTTTACTATTTGTCTTTAATTTTCAATTTATGGACTAATAAAAATACGCATTTGGATATTATCTTGTTTGTCTTGATCTGGGCAAGAGTACTACTAGTAGAAAATCTTTATGTGGTTTAATTTCTTTTCTCAGCCAACAACTTGCTTTTCCACTCGGTACTTGATTCCAAGTCGAAGTCAAGTTGTTGAGAAGCAAAGAAATAAAATATTTTCAATTACACCTGTAATTCCACCTTCTTTAACTCTTGGAATTATTTATGTTATCCATAATAATTAGGTGTGCAAATATTGAATTTTTTTTTTATGATTATTTTTGCCGTCTTTTAAACATTAATATGCTAAAAAACTATTGAAATTTATACTTTCTGTGAAGTTTTTATTAAAAAATAATGTATAGTGTCTAAAGGATTAAAAGTAAAAGACGTGAAGGAACGAGGTAAAATGTCGATAAAATATGGAAATTAGCTTCTCAGACACGTCAACTGGTTTGAACTTTTCATGTAGTTTTCGTCAATTTCTTATGTTAAAATCAACCTCTGATGAATTTTCATGACGGCTCTGCCGCCAAGTAAGGCTTTCAAAGGTATTGAGGCAAGGAAGTCGTTTGAAGTGATGAAATTGATGGGAACAGTTTGAGCAGATTTTTTTTTTTTTTTCTTATAGTAAAAGACAGTAAAAATTAATATCCCCAACAACTACAAATAAGCAAAAAGGGCGACTCAGTCAATAACATATATATATATATATATATAGATATATATTACATGTATGTATATGTAATAACAAGATATACCTAATCAAATATGGTGGCAATGGGAAAGAACGTTATCACAAATATGTTCCGTTCATTTTGCTGATTTTAATTTAGAATTCGAGTTTTACTATAGTAAAAAACTCTCACATAAAGTCACATCTCAACTCAAATTAAAAACTCGAATCAGCGAACTAAATGGGCCCTTAAATTGGTTACTTGTCTCGTTTTTTTTTAATAATATTGTTGTTTATGTATTATTAGTTGATGACTTATTATTGTCGCTATTACTTGAAAATTTATTTGTATGTTGCAACTGCCTATCGCTCCTTCTTCGACGTACTTGCTTACTTGCTTGCTCTTTTTATTTTGCATAGTTAAAACAATTGAAAGCTTTTTGTGCGAATATTGGAGGGACGGTGGGGAGAATCTTCTTTTATTCTTTTTTCTCCCTTAATAATATTATACCCTTTTTGTCATTATTTTTTCTTTAAATCTAATATTTTAAAATGTCTTTCATTTACTTTTTTCTTCTTCTATTTTATTTTATTGGAAAAAATTTTGAATTTGCCCTTTTGACTGACGTGGAGGAACAAAAGAAGTGAATCTATACACTTTTGTACATGTAATACAATAAAAAAGAAAAACATGCGTGTAAGATAAAGCCAAATTTTATTTTGCTTAATTTTTGTGCCCTTTGACATGCTTTTTCTTTCTTTCTTTCTTTTTAAATTATTTTTTAACTTCTTCCTTCCTTACTTCTCCGGTTCTACTTGTAAACATATATTTTTTTTGTTTATCGATAAATATATGTCTTTACGTGAAAGTATAATTAATGCCACCTCTTTTCCCAAATTGAACTACAAAATCGTCTTAATATGGCCACGTGCATCTTAGCGATCGAGAGAAAAAGACGTTTCTCTAATTCTCTTCGTAATACCATCGTATTTTTAGTCCCACCGGTTTCCACACCCGTGGCAATCACCAACCCTTCAAAGTGTTGAATGTGGAAATTAGAGTGAAGGGAGTACACGGCTATTGAAAATGATGACATATTTGTTAGTTCACCTATCTTTTTCAAAATCTTAAGCTGTTAGGAGGTGAGTTAACAATAGTTTTATATTTTAACACTTTTACTCACATGTGGACTGGACAATTGGCAATCGTGCATATTTAAAAAATTAATTCATGTTGTTGTTAGTTTTAGTCATTGAGTTTCAAATTTTCTATACTTTTATATCGATGTCGTGTTAATTCATGTTGTTGTTGTTTTAACCAAGTTATTGTTATTGTCCCTTTTAAGTTTCTCCGAGCTCATCTTGTTCTGTTCTTGTAAAGTTAACGTTATTCTTTCTTCTTCTTCTTCTTTTTTTTTTGTCGTTTAAAATTGTTTTCCCTTTCTCTTTACATCATTTTCAAGTTTTTATTGTCGTTTATGTGATATTGCCACTTTGAGGTAGTCTGTCGCTTTCAAATTCTTATGTCGTTTTTATCCTTGTCATCGTTTTTAAGTTAATTTTCGATGATGTTTTCATTCTTAATTTTTTAAATTTTATTTGGAGGACATGAATGAGGGAACATATGAACTTAAAACGTGCATTACAGTGAGGGCAAAAAAACAAAAGAAAAAACATTTCTTTTGTCATCGTATATATTGCTTACTAGCTTGCTTGCTTACAATTGAAAGCTTTTTGTGCGAATATTGGAGAGACGGCGGGGAGACTCTTCTTTTATTCTTTTTTTGTTTTCCTTAATAATATTATACCCTTTTTGTCATTACTTTTTCTTTAAATCTAATATTTTAAAATGTCTTTCATTTATTTTTTTTTCTTCTTCTATTCTATTTCATTGGAAAAAATTTTGAATGTGCCCTTTTGACTGACGTGGAGGAACAAAAGAAGTGAACCGATACACTTTTGTACATGTAATACAATAAAAAGAAAAACATGCGTGTAAGATAAAGTCGAATTTTATTTTGCTTAATTTTTGTGCCCTTTGACATGCTTTTTCTTTCTTTCTTTCTTTTTTCTAATTATTTTTTAAAATATTTTTTTTGTTTATCGATTAATATATGTCTTTACGTGAAAGTATAATGCCACCTCTTTCCCAACATTGAACTACAAAATTGTCTTAATTTGGCCACGTGCATCTTAGCGATCGTGAGAAAAAGACGTTTCTCTTTTCTCTTTGTATACTACAAGAAAAAGGCGTTTTTGCGACGAAAAAATGTCGTCGCAAAAACCCGCATGTCGTCGCAAAGAACTATTTTTACAACGACGTGTCGTCGCAGATTTGTCGTCGCAACTAATTAGTCGCAAAAACTTTTTTTGCGACGACATAGTATCGTCGCAAATACTTTTGCGACGACATCATGTTTTTACGACGACAGGCATCACTAATAAGCCGTTGCAAAATTCTCATGATATTATAATTTTTTACGACGACATTTCACATTGTCATCGCAAATAACCTTGTTTTTTTGCGATGACAAATCTAAAAAAGTCGTTGTAAAAACTCGAAATAATTTTTTTTTTTATAATTTTTAAAAAATGGCAACTAATTAATTTTTAATAATTTTAATTAAAAATTATTATGTTACATACTGAATATAATTTATTAAGATACATTAAAAGTGAAATATAAATTAATATTAAAAACAGTAAATCTAATGAAGTGCATACATAATGTTTAAAAAAATATAAAAGTCTAAATAAAGTGAAAAATAAAATAGTACATATAACGAAACTAATCATCTAAGTTTACAGCATCACCAACAGTTGAATCATCATAAGGACTGTCATCATCTGAAGGATGCAGGAGAGCGTCTAGGTCAACTAGTTCTGGACGATCAATCGTAGGTAATTGGATGTTTGGCTGCAATTTAGTCATCAACTCTAACACCTTCACCTGATGTTATAAATCTTAACTTGTTCCTAGTACGTTTTCTTTAAATAACGACTCACACGTGGGTCAGGTTGAGCCGATGGTGTTGCATCCGAGTATGAACCAGCAGATGAAGGAGAAGCCCAGGAGTAATGCTTTTGGGAGAGCGTCGAACCCACTCCTATCTTATGTCCTCTATGCATGCCAAGAACTTGCTCTAAAACCCCATGCTCGTCAAATGCGAGTCTAGTCGAGCTTGAAGTAGACTGTGTTATCTGCATTTGTCTCTCCTCCTCCAGGGTGTTCTACATAATATAAGACATTATAATTGTTTTTACGTCTTATAGAACCACTATTTCAATGTAAAAAAATTTAATATGAAAAGAAAAAATACTTACAAAAGTCTGTTCCGCTTGGGGATTAACCAAAGAGGCCCGCGATGATGCATGTCCGCCCAATTGTCTATGGCAGACATCGGCTCTTGGATCTCGTACTAAACTGTCAAATAAATTACATTTGTTAAAATTCTTAAATTCTAACAAAATTTCGGCAACATAACGACTTATTTTTCATATGATCCAAAAATCAAAACCTGTAAAAAAATAATTTTAAAAGATTTTGGCACACCATAGCTGCAAGATGTGCCACCAGAACAATCATCACAAACATATGAATACGATAATGAAGTCTAAAAATAACTACTAACCTTCTTATTGCGATGCTGAGAGTACGATACCCGACCATGTAAGCTTGGATACTTTTGGTTGCTACGATTAGTTTTATTTGTCTCTGATATTTTCTCTTTATAATTAACTATAATAAGTAATAGTTACTTGAAATTATGTATAAAAAACCATCAAGTTCTAACAAATCTATAATTACTTGAAATTTGTCGCTGGAGAACCTATCGCAACAACGATCCCAATGAAGTTGATTCCTCATGTTACTCGGGAGACTTTCTCCACCATAGCGTTTGAAGTGGCCGTGCAAGGAACTTTTTCAGTCCTTGTAGCACTTTGCTGCCTCCCTATCAACAACAGACCTCAGAATACCATTCTTATAGTTGTAGTCCATGTTAAACCAGTCCTCGCAAAACAGTTTCACATCGTTAAAACGCATTGTTAACTTTAGTATAAACTATACAAATTATTGCATAAAAAATT